GTCGGCCTTCTTGTGACCTGAAGGCATTGCCAAACCTAGTCCACGCAGCGTCTGCCTCTTGCTTGGCTCTCAGGAACCCACACATACCTCTTCTGAGATCAGGCTGTGCCACTCTCTCCTGACCACGCCGTTGTTATAGTGTAAGTGTGGCTTGGAGTACTTAGCATATTCCAGGTTGGAGTTCAGTTTTTCCCAGTATCCCTTAAAGCTATGCACCTGTAGGAGACAGACACGTCGGTGAGCCTGAGAAGCAGGTCCTGTGGCCCAAACTACCCGGCCCACGCCATGCAGGCCTTGCTGCAAAGCTGGGCTCGCCTCACTTCCTCAGCAGTGAGGCAGCGTTTCCGAGTGAGTAACGTCCCATGAAGGATGGAATTCTTGTCCTGATCAGAATTCTAAACTAGACAGAGTCTTGCCTTGCTCTCTTCCTTTCGAGCCCCTTTTACACAGAGAGACAACTGCTCACTGGCCCACACCAGCCCGACTCCCTGGGTGAGGGCTGAGCGGGGAAGCCGGTATTGAACACATAGGGTCATTTCCTCCCCAAAGACCCATTTTCTGACTTCAGTTGTGTCAACAATGCCATGCTCAGTTAGGGAATGTTCACAAGATTGGGAGCACACAAAAGGATAGGATTACTTTCCCCCTAAGTTTATTTACTTCCAAAGGATCTTTTTCAAAACCCAGGAATCAGAAAGGTAAAAGGTGAACTTTCACACACACTTGTTGCATACGCCAAAACAGAATTTGCTGGCACCCATCCCTTCTAGGTCTCTGATGTACTGATATAATTGTACTACCCTGAGGCAAAAAGTACCCGTTATGTTCATTTTTGAATAAAATGTAATAGTAATACACTTTTTAATGTTGAAGGATATCCTGACACAAATTGTTTTTGTAAATCAATGAAGACAGATTTATGATTCATACTTTCTTGCCAAAATATATGCATTTAGAAAGGATTTGACTGGGGTCAAGGATGCAATGTGTTGCCATAAAACAAAGTGAGGTAATGCCTACTGTGGGAACGGACTTAGCTGTATTGCAAGGCAAAAAGAGAACTTAAAAAAATGCCTCAATCTAGAAAACTGCCCTTTTGTTAAGTAAGAGCACAGCATCCAAATTCTTATTGAAATGACAGTCACAATTGGCTCAAAATGGATGTTGGAGTAAAGTGAATTATATAATAAAACCAACTTGCTGTTTTAGAAGCTTGAAAGGCCTGACCAGCCAACACCCATTCTCACAGAGACAGGAAAAGCTGCTTCCAATAAAGTGTCATTTCAAGAGGAAATCGGAACCTGGAGTCAGGGCCCACCACCCACGTGACCTAGCTCGCTCATCTTTTCTTTCCCTTTCCATTTATTTATGATGAATATACCTTTATCCACCCCCTTGGTCTTCCTCGTATTGAAAAAAAAAACAATAATGAAAGCAAATCCTGCTTCATTTGGCAGAATTAGGTCCCTGATTGGAAGTCACTACAGCTTTCTTGCTATTCTCCCTCTGGGTTCAGGTAACTAGTGCCAAGAGCCAGAAAACTAATTGGTGATGTGGTGACATCTAGTGGTCAGTTCTGCTATTACCTCTGTCTGCTCTGCCACTGGAGTCCCACCCCGAGAGGGAGGAACACTGGTGCCCTTATTCCTGTGAGTCGCTCTTCCTCTCAGGCCAAATGCCATCCTCCCGTCAGAAGACTCCACTCTCATACTCATACTGTGGGACCTGAGGAAAGATCTCTCCCAAAGTACCTTCTTTTCACTCCATTAAAAAAAAATCCCTTTCCTCATACCCTTTTCTTAGCTAAGAATAAATAAATAAAAAAATAAAACAAGACCACGGACAGGCTTCACATGGGCTCCTGAGCCCACTGACTATGTAAAATGAGTTGTGTTTGTGGGAGCAATTTTCTGGGAAGAAGATCTAGAGCTTACATAAGATTTTCAAAAAAAGAAAAAATCCATGGCCCCAAATAGTTCAAAACTACTGAGTTAGAAGGAAAACAGATTCTAAGTTTTAAAATAAGAACTCACATTTAAATAAGGAACACTGTCAGCCAGAAGTCCCAGAAATATCTTACATAAATGTGTAGGTCTTTCAAGGCGGTCCCTGGGCTGGGTGTTATGATACAGATATTCAGAGAGTTGAGAGAGAAACGGTGGCACAGAGATCATTGTAAGTTGGAAGGTTTATCGGGAAGCCTGGGAAACAGGTAAGACCCACAGGATGAAAATGACAAAGGAAAAGAGAGGATGTTCCAGGTGGGGCTCTGAGGAAGTGAGCAAAGACTGAGAACCCAGAATGTGGATTCTGGGTTTAGATCAGAGGCAGAGCTTTAGAGAAAACAAGCCCCAGCACTTCATTCTCTGTGAGGAAAGTATCTGCCGCTAAGGTGTGACTCCCCCCTTAGCAACCACCTGGTCCCATCCCCGAGAATGCTGACTGGTGTGCGGTGTGACCTGAGCCTCCCTTATAAGTGTCAGACGTTCCCCAGGCAAGCTTAACGTTCAGCCCAGGCTGAGAACACTGCTTGAGCCTGTCCACGTAATCCTAGTCTCCCTCCCACCCTCAAATGTTCTTCTCTGGGTTAAAGGCTGAGGAAGAACCAGCTGTCTGAAGACTTGCAATTGTGTCATGAAATAACAGGAGACAGGGTTAAAGAGATCTTCAAAGGATCTCAAATGCCAAAGCAACAACAACACTCTCATTAACCCACAGAACAAAAGAGCTTTCAAGGTGAAATGCTAGATGTTGTAACACAGCATGGAAGGAAGAGGGCGTGTAAGCTGCACAATTGTACCCTCTCAGCCGACCTGGGAGCACAGAGAGCCTCTCCTTTCAGTCAAGGGGCTCTTAGGGAACTCGCTGGGTACAAAGCACCATACTCATCAGGGACAACAGCAAAGTGAAAGCCACCAAAGCCTAAGAAGCGCATCGGCAGCCCCTTGAAAAGAGCTCATAAAGCTTTAAAATACACAAAAATGCTTTCTAAGGAAAATATCCATGCATTTAGCTATTCTGGGAGACGCCGATGTTAGAAACCATCAGATCCTCAAGGAATCACCCAGAAGCATTTTCCTGCACCAAGGGGAGTCTTTAATTTTGATTTCAAAAAAGGAAAATTATTCCAAGTCTCTTTTTGAGAAATAATCTCATTTTGCCTCTTAGGATGACAAGAAATAATTACCAAATGTAGCCCATCACAACTATTAATTCAACAAAAGGACCAAAGGGTCCCATTAAGAGACTGCTGCCCATTCGTGATTTGAATTGCCAGTTGATTTTTTATTTTAAAGAATGAAAAGAAAGGAGGGGGAGGGGAGGAGGAGGCGGAGCCCTATGGTACTTACTGGCTCATCTGTAAACGACTGCCAGGAAAGAAAAAAAAACCTGCCTTTCATTTCTGAAAGGCCCTCAGGCTTTGGTCCTACATTTGCTGATTAACCAGTATCTTCTTTTACAGAAGAGGAAGCCAACTCAGAGAGAACCTCTACTCTTCCTATCAGGGCTCAACCAGTGGAGGTAAAGCATCAATTCACCCAGCTCTTCAGAGGACACCATCTCAGTATCAGCTTTTACTTGCAGCCCAGAGAAACACAGCGACCCACTACCTGCAGCACAGTCAGGATGAAATAGAAACACCTATGTGTCCATAAAGCTAGTAAGGTACCATACCAAACAGGGCCATCCATGCACAGGATCAGTGACTCCTGAGGCTTCCTGTTCCTGTTAAGGGGACGGCATTTTGTGAGTGCCAGTTCTCCTATTTGTAAGAGAACTTCCTCCTTCTTCCCAAGTCAAGTAAAAAAATCTCTCTTCTTGGCCGAGCTGGGTAGTACTCTTAGCCGTTTTTAATGGGCTGTATTTTTTTTTAATGTAACCTCTTAAATACAGCTGTAACCTATTCCATCTCACAATCAGCTTATTTCCTGAGAAAGCCCACGCTAAGATAGTTCCCTCCTCTTAGCCTTAAGAATTAAGTGTATGCCTTCAACCAAAGCCATGAATAAGAGCAGCACATGGTAGTGGAGGGTAGGAGAGAAACAAACACTAGGATCCTTGGTCCTGGGTCTGTTCCTCAATTTCATCATCTGGGAAGTAAACCAAAGTTCCCTCCATCCCTACACATACAACAGGAATGAACTGACCAGTCTGGTGCTCTGTCTCTAATAAGTAGTGTTTCTTTATAACATCATAAAATTATGTTTTTACAATAGTGATTGAACTGTCCCCCAATATATGTTGTATAGGAAAAACTCTAATTTTTTCCTCTATAACAGACTAGCCCCAGAATACTTCACTTCTGGTCACCAAATGTGTGGGGGTTTTTTCCCCCCACACCTGTCAATTCTTTAACACCAGCAGGACGTCCTACAATTCACCCAGAGATAGTGCCAGATCCCACAGGTTGAGGGCTCAGTCCCACAAGAGTGTCCCCTATTTCAGGTGCCAGTTGCAAGTTCAGGTTGTTATCTATGATTCTGACTGACCGCCTAGAAATCAGAGGTTCCCAAGACCCCCTCTTTGGGCTCTGTAATTTGTTACAGTGGCTCACAGAACTCAGGAAAACAATTCACTTATTATATACCAGTTTATTACAAAAGGATACAACTCAAAAGCCAGATCAAAGAGATGCATGGGGCAAGCATGTGGGAATGGGCCCTGAGCTTCCATGCCCTCTCCAGACACTCCACCTCCACCCCCACATCTCTGAATATTCATCCCTGGGAGGTCTCTGAAACCCTTCAGTTAGGGTCCTTTCTAGAGGCTCCATTACACAGGCATGCTTGATTCAATCACTGGCCACTGGTGACTGAACTGAATCTCCAGCCTCTCTAGCCTTGGAAGGTGGTGGCGGCAGATTCTCAAAGTTCCAACCCTCTAATCACACGCTTCATTCTCCAGGCAACCAGCCCCCATCCTGAGGTGCTTTCCAAAAGTCACCTCTTTAACAAACTCAGGTGTGGTTGGAAGGGGCTTCTTAGGAATAACAAAAGACATTCTTTTCACCTTTGTGTTCTGGAGTTATTTCAGGAACTGGGAACAAACACTAAGTATTATAACAAAAGATGTCCCTGTAGTTCTTATCACTGAGGAAACTGCAAGGATTTTAAGAGCTCTGTGCCAGGAATCACGGATGAAGACCAGATACATATTTCTAGTTATAGCGCAGTATCACATAGGTACAAACGAAACTGTGGAAAGTCAATTAATATTTCCCACAGAACTAACTGACATTTCTGGTAGTGCTACATTGCTGTCAGAGCAACAATTCTAATTTTTAAAACTTGCAAGCTCACTCTGTGATTGTGTTGATACTTTGGATCTTTACAAAAGCTTTTTATTGAAGTGATGGCGGCTCTCTGTACTGGGAGGGTCAAGGAAAAAAAGGTGTTTTTTGTGCTTTAATAAGCATTATACTCATGCTCTGCCCAATTAAAACAGTATTTTTAAACATTTTTTAAGTGTGTGAGAGAAGCAGTATCATTAAGTGAACGTGTCTCTGAGTGGAGAACAGCCCAGGTGTCAACTGCTCTTTCCCCAGTTGCTCAGGGATCTCTAGATCCCGACAGACCCAGGCAGCAACGCCCTCACGTGGAGTGGCCCCTGGTGGGGAAGGACTTGAAGTCTTTCTCCTTCCGAGTCTCTGGGTCAGACAGTTAAAAATCGCTACACAAATGATTAAATTTAAAGGCTTCTTAACTTTGGAAAATGAAGCTAAAGATGTCTGGCTTAAAAAAAAACTTTAATAAAAACACTCCATTTCTCCATTGGTGGCATGCTCATTCAACTTTTATCTTGATATTCAAGTAAGGTATTATTCCTTTTTTTTTTTTTTCAAAAAATCCTTACATGGCTTCCTGTGGAGGGGATAAAATCATTCTTTGGAAGGTCATTCTTGATGACATTTCTTTTAAGGTGAGGAACTTGTTTCAATACATATTTTGATTCACTTTTAAGAATTCTTTTGGAAACCATTCTATTAAAGTCAAGAAGCCTTTTGTCTTTCAGGTGATAAACTGCTGCAAACCAGTTAAACCCGGTGTTCATAGACTAAACATGTAAAGTGCTCCACTTCACTCTAAACTTCTTTTCAGAGAGAGCAGAAGGAAAGCACTCATTCAGTTTCATTTTGCCCTTCCCTCTCCAGACTCCTTATCGGGGCAGTCATCTTCCAAGCAGGATGGAAGCAAGTGTGGTCAGAGTAGACATGGGTCCCCTGGGCCTTGAGGAAAGTCTGACAGCAAGCATGCCTTCAAAAGGCAGCGTGTGATTCAGGTAGAGGGTGCTCAGAGCCACCTGCTATCAGGTAAGCTGCAAGAACAGTCACATAAGTGGGGCCGGGGAGGGGGAAAATGTAGGGGATGTGCCATGGCAACCAGATTCATTCACTGCAACGTAATGAAGCTGGGAATTGGGTAGAAGTAGGTCAAAGGCAGTAACTTATATGAGGGGTATTATGTAAGCAGAGATGGGGAAACAAACAAGAGCTCTCAGGGCCAGCTGTCCCGTGAACTGGAAGGTACCGATTAGTGATGGGGGAAGGGGGGGAACTGGCCAAACCAAACCCAGTACCAAACTCTCCTGAGCCCAGGGCAAATCCCAGCAGCATGCCTCAGCCTCCCTGGTGGGTCATGCCTGAGTGGAGAGGGCAGTGAAGAGATCTACTGCTCAAACTTGCCCTGGGGAACACTTCCTACCAGCATACAAATACACGGGAGTCAGGGAAGAGCTCCCAAGCAGAGTCAGGAATAGTTAATAGGAAACAATTGTCTGCAGAGCCAACTGCTAGAGGCACTAAGGGGAGAAGAAAAAAAATGAGGGTAAGGCAAAGTGAGTATCAAAGGAGAAAAAAAAAATGAAGTACATAAAAACATCATTTTACACAGAAATACACACACACACAAATAGAAAAAAAATCAGGAAGTACAAAAATAAACTATTTTGTTCCTAAGCAAAGGCATATTGTATTCTTAGAATAAGCCAATGGGTTAAAAAGTTTGAGAACTCTCCCATCACTCTTTTATCATTACTTAATTTTTTAAGTGAAAATACACAATGCTGAGAAGGTTATAGTAAAACTGATAAACTCATAAATCCCTTATAACAGTGTAAATTATCACAACAATTTTTGAGTATTAATTTGGCAATAAGACTCAAAGGCTATAAAAATTGTCATACTCTTTCATCCAATAATACACGTGGGCATTTAACCTTAGGAGAATAAATCACACACACACACACACAAAACTGTATAAAAATATTTACTGCAACATTTTTAATGGTAAAATTTTTTTTTAATGGGGGCTCTCTAGAGAATGATTAAGTAAATCAAGACACTGACACATAATGGAATCCTATGGAGTCATAAGAAATCATAATTATGAAAATTATGAAGTTTAGGTACCAACATGAAAAATGTACAGATATAATTCATAACTGTTATGAAATGTCTCTAGATGGCCATTACTATTAGATAGAATGTACATACCTATGACAAACCAAGAGGAAATGGGGGAAATGGTTCATAGGTCAGGAAGTATAGAATTGTGGGTGACATTGTTTTCTTTTTAAAATTTCCTTCACTGGTTTATTGTGTGTCCATCAAACACAGTATGGGTTTGGTAGGACTAGCAGTAAAAGCAGAAACAATTAATTGAAAGGATGGAGGCTTTCACTAAAAAACTGTTAAGCTGTTAAACCTTTCTTTTCCCTTCGTCTTCCTACCTTTGCAGACCTTCACAGCCATCTCATGCTGCTGCCTAGAAACATCTCTCGTCAGTCTCCCCTTAAGGACCCTTCTTAGGACCGAAACCCAGAACCACTAAACCCGCCCCAGTTGGCCCTCTCTCACCCCCAGGGCATCGCTATGACCTCAAACACCCAGAGCTTCCCTGAGCTGCCCAGGCCTGGCTTGCCCTTTGTGGATCCAAAAGAATCAAAGGTAAATAGTAAAAGACAGAAGCACACGGAGCTGCCTGCTGCCAAAAGTTGAGATTTCCCAGCACACATCAAGCTATAATTAACAGGAGGCAATGCCAAAAACAACAAAGGAGCTTCAAGGAAACTGCGCTAAACTACTCCCCAGTTTTTAACTACACACACATTCTTTTCTACTCACTCACCCCCACCCTACCCTCCCTATTGTATTCAGAAACTCTTCTGAAAGTACCAGACTGCAGAGAGACACTAAAGCTGCCGCTGAGTGGGCAGGAAGGAGGTGTGTGCTGAGACCACAGATAGCCCATGCAGGTCACTCTTGAGAAACAGAAAAGCTGTTCTCAGCACCAGAAGGAAATTAGATAATCCCAGCCCAGGTTATTAATGGTTTTAAGATTGTGTGTGTGTGTGTGTGTGTGTGTGTGTGTGTGTGTGTGTGTGTGTGTGTGTGTGTGTGTGTGTGTGTGTGTGTGTGTGTGTGTTTGTTGAGGGATGACAACACAAATGAAGTGGAAAAAAAAAAGCTCACAAGTCCTCAAAAGAAAATGCAGAAGAACCCCTCCAGCATGGATTGGCTGGAGGCACAGTAGAAAGTAGATCTCTATGCGGCTCAAGCTGGGCTCTCCATCTTCAGAAAACTTCACTCTTTAAAGAGCATTCCTAAGAGTCGCCTTGATATCATCTGAGTGACTGCTCTACCATTTAGGAAGGATTTTCAGGAGAACTAGCCCAACGCCTCACCCCCTCCTCCCCTGACAGTTTACAGTCCTCTCTGGAACCACCGTAACACTCAGGGCAGAGGAGTGTGAAGGCCAGCAAGGAAGCCAAGCAGGCCCGTGCTTCCGTCTCTCGCTGTAAGGACTTACCTTCATAAGAGGCAACGGGATCTCTTCTGTCACAAGGGTTATTCCAGGAATTTCCTATGGTGGGGAAAAAACATACACACAAGTGCTAAACATATCAACCACCACCAGCCAGAGCCTTCAGGAAGTGTTTTCTGCACAGAAGCTGAGGGCAGCTCCCAGTTTGCTAACTTCTACTTTAAATAAACCTGAGGGTTTATAAATAACAGTGAACGCAGGGAAGGGAAATATTCGGCAAAATTATGATTATAATAGTTGACAGTGTCGCTAGAGGAAGGGATAAGACTATTATAAAGAAATACAGAGTAAATAATGTACTATTTACACATTTCCATTTAAGAACTAAGGAGGCAAATTACACTTGCACCATCTAGTATAATAATAATAAGGTGGACCCTTTCCTTTTTTTTTTAAACTCCTTCCTCCTTCTTCTCTTTCACTTAAATGTATATTAGTTGGCTCCTGGCTTACTAATGGGATTCTTTTCTGACTTCAGTGGAAAATTGTTCTGCACCTTATCCTGCACCATAATTTTGGAAATAAGAGATCCCTGTAAAAATTTACACAGCATGATCACCATGGCAAATGTGAACGATGCAGTTCATAACAGGAAGTCCACATTATACACTCTGCTAACTAGTGAGTATTAAAATAGAAATTCAAATAAAAAGATAAATTTCCAAAATTGCTATTTATTTGGTTATTTTTAGAAATGTGTTTCCATGTTAATCATGTTGTACAGTAACCTCTCAACTAGTCAATTCCTCTTTTATTTCCTAAAAAAAAAAAGCAGATGATATTTGAGAAAATAATTTAGAAGGTGTTATGTAGAAATAAAATCTGTTATTTTTTTAGAACTTAACTATCCTGGATTTTACTGACATACAATAGTCCTGTGAAAAAGGGCATCACGGGGATGGACAAATAAATTTCCAGAACTTTCAAGCATCTGAGTTCTCCACTGTGACAGGAGAAAGCCTGTGATAAAAACCTACATGTGCTTCACTTATCACGACAGCTTTAGGTTATAAATAGCATCTTAAAATAGATATAACAAGGCTCATTGTCTGAAAAGCATAATTCAGGATTATCTATGTGTAACAGCACCCTATTTTCTAACATCTTCAAAAAATCCAATTTAGTTATTTACAGAAATAACCTGTCCCCATACAGAAGTGTAAAATTAATGTTTTCTGTTGTGGCAGGTGTTTATTAAGGGTATAGCATTAAGCC